GGGTGTAGGCCTACTTAACGAAAAAAGTACTTTTAATTATGTTTATACCTATTCTTATGCCTATAAAACACATGGTATTTTTTAAGTTTGAAAGACCTAGTGATAATGTTAAGGAAGTTAGCATTTTCACTGCCATATCCTTAAACTTTGCGTTAAAATGAACTCATTATAAAAAATGCTCACTGCTCAGTGTTTTCATTAATCTTGGTAACACGAATGCTAGCCGAAACTAGCCTACCTTGATAACACGACCCTCAACAAGAAGAGCACAGCGATAATAAGGAATGTTCTACAGTCTCAGGCCTAATTAACGTAGCCTACTACAGTAGTTTGCAATGGGGTGCGCACATAGTAGAGAATAATGCAATTTAAATCTACTGCAGAACAAATCTTTACATGAACCATTGGTTATAGAAACCAACTCAACAGCACCACAATTTTATAAAATAGGCAGGCTAATTGGTAAAAGATTTTAAAGAGAATAATAGTTTTAAGATGATCGTGTGGCTGGCCAAATGAAAGTCCAAAACATATCCTCTGTCAACTTTCATTCTCTTTGTATCTATGGTTTTAACCATGTAACTAACCATGTAACATTCAACCACGTAACTACTCTACATCCATTGTAAATAGGCCTAACTTACTCTTCCTTGACAAATGTTTAACCAAAATAATACCTTTCATTGACCATTCCATATGCAATACTTGAAATACTTACTTATACTTGATCTCTTCATCGTTGACCAACAAATGTTGGATAGATTGCGTCATTAAAATGTTTCACTATTTACTAACACTATATTACATATATACAATTAAACTGAACTGACGGATGTGACTTTATTAGGGAAAGCGAGTGGTTCGTCAAACAGTTCCTTAAAAGCGTACAAGGGCCTGCTGAGTAGGCTCTGGCGAAGTGCGGATTTGAATCGCTTTGGGTCTAGAGCTCGGATATTGGTCGGCAGTGTGTTGAATAGTTTTATCGCTATTGAGGGGTATGACTGAAGTGTGTGGCGAAGCCGACAACCAGGTAGGTCAAGGTCACCAGCCCCGCGAGTCCCATAATTGTGCTGCATGCTTCTAGTTGAGAAGTTAGTTAAGTTGCTTCTCAGAAGGACTAAGGTGTTCAGTGTATACTGGCTGTAGACCGATAAGATACCAAGTTCTTGAAAAATCGGCCTACAATGGTCGGTTGGGCCGGATTGTCAATTGTCTATTGAGAGATAATGCTTTGATTTGATCTTTTTTACCGACACTCCTTGGGAAACCAAAATTTAGTGTAAAACTTGTCTCTCCACTGGTGGACGACAGAAAAGGCACTATATTTTGTAGAAAAAAAGCAACTAATTGCCGTGACTAGTGGAAAACTTAGTCAAAAACATTGTTGTTAACGCGGCTTTAGGCCTATAGCAAATGCAAACTAGGCTAAGTGGGCTAGGCCTTCAAAGATTTTAAAATTAATTATGAGATTATAGTATGAAAATAATATTATTTTCATAACATATTGTTTGTACATTAAACCTAAGACCTAAGCTTAAAAAAATATAGCAAAAGCTTTATGGCTGTTTCTTTTTAATACTAAGTAAGCTTAACTTAAGGTTATGTGACAAAGGAGAACTCACCATTTAGATTGAATCCTTCCCCTCCCTGAGCTATATTCATCATGGATTTATTTTAATCACTTATTTTTAGTTTTAAACTCACTGTTATCAAAAACTTCAAATAAGGAACTTGAAGAACACTACATCACAACACTGCACAAAAACATTGCTAAACAACAAACTGACACTGACACAATTATTGACATTTACACCTCCGCCATTTTGTAACGCACTTGTTTTTTTTCATTCACAGTCACAGTACTTTCACTTTCTTGACCCACGACAAAGCTACTAAATAAATACATTAGATTGAGAAAGATAGAATCATAGATTAAACATTTTCTCAGGAATTTAATATATTTTGTCTATAATAAAACTAGAAGCTAACCGTCCAGCTTTTGAAGCGGGAAGTTTTTGTTTATGTTTCTTGAACAATTTTTGTATATTAATAATTCCCAAATACAAATCAATTAATATTGTTAAGACAAATTGTAATAAAATGAAGGCTCAATAGAAAATGGGGAAATTGCTGCACCACCTTCAAACCACTGAGCTAAAATTATAACTGGAGGTAGCACCGTCATGGCAGAAATCTGTCAAAAGCCTGTCGCTGATTTTGTTTGGTTGGTATAGCAGCGAGTTTTCTTATCATAGCAATAACATGGCTTCTATAACTAGGTTGGTATAGCAGTGAGTTTTCTTATCCAATAACATGGCTTCTTTTTAACTCACACCTCACGCAAACATGGCGGCTGGCGACACGCATCTTTGACATTCAGTGCTACCTCCAGTTAGAATTATAGCTCAGTGCTTCATACTGAATGCTTCGAATGTTGCGTCTTGATCCTCGAAGCCTAAGCGAAACCGGTGGGGCACTCGGGAGGGACTAAGGCTAACATATCTTGTAGTGTCAGCGTTCGCCGCTAGAACTGCTAAGTTGAAAAAATTTAAATTAATTTTTTTTAAAATTTTTAATTATAAAATATTGTTTTAAAATTATAAATTTTTTTTTTTTTTTTTTTTAATTAAACTGTCATAACATAACCTAACCAACCAGACTTGCTGATAATATAAAAACTATATAAGATAAAAATCTAATTAATGATTACATATAATTTTTAATTAATTTTAAAATTTATGTTAAAATTTAGTATTATAAAATTAACCGTCATAACCTAACCTAACCAACCAAACTTGCTGATATGAAAAATTTGTTGACAAAAAGGTAATGCTGCCAGCGGGATTCGAACCCGGGAGCTCCTGAACACCAATCCGAAGCGCTACCAACTATGCTACGAACGCCGCTGAAATCACACCGTTTCGTTACGGTAATCGTGTCGCCTCAAGAGAAGACATTAGCCACTAGAGATATGACGTCACTACACCTTAAGCCTTAGTCCCTCCCGTGTGCCCATTCCTAAGCGAAACTGCTCGAATGATGGAAAGCTGGCTTTGGATCCTTAACCATCAATCTAATAATTTGGCAGTATGGTTTTCTCCATTTTACAGCCAGGGCCTCGCTTGTTCTCCTCTGAAACGCTTCATATTATCTGTGGGGGGTCTCCTTTCGTGGAACAATATTATACCTTTATACCATGTATCCATCGATGACCAGTAGTGACTGGATAGATTTCGTCAAAGAAAAAACATTGAACAACATTTTAGTTTTAATACTTTATATATTTATGTGGTTAACATGGCTGTAGATTACGAGGTCCATTCACCTTTTTCCTCTGTGAAATATTCCTTCATGGAGTACAGGGGCCGCGCCTTGAGTAGCTCTCTACTCTCTTTTTAAATCTCTTAAGAGGGAGTGACTTTATGTCCTGGTGCAGGTGGTTCAAGGACTGGATAAACAGTCTTGTTATGTTTACTAAGCCTGCAGAAAGGAACGTTTAAAAGATCTTCTCCCTTTCTCGTATTATAACGATGTAGCTATGGTTTCTGCAGCTGAGGTTATCTATATTTTCCTTGATCTACACCAGACAGTTATAAATGAATTGGCTGTAGATAGTCATTACTCCTAAGGCTCGGAAAAGTGGCCTAGTGTTCGTGTCTCTCACTGGACGTTATGGCTCTTATGGCACATGATATGGTTCTTATAATGACACCATAGCTCATCAAGCTGTGGAAGAGGCCATAATAGGCCAGCTTTAAATATGTATCTGTGACCAGATTTTTTAATTTTCTTAAGAGGAAAACAGTTCTGGAAAGTCTGCTTTCCAACTCATTTATATGTTTGTCCCATGTCAACCTCCAGCCAAAAACCTAGTAGTTTGACAGGTTGTTGTTGCAGAGTTTGTGGTTTTAAACTGCGTATAAGTTCTTGGGTTTTATCATGGTTTATTTTGAGTTTGTTCGTTGAAAACCAGGCTTTTGCCTCGTCCATGATTTCAGCTGCTTCGAGTTTAAGTTGGTCCAATTGACTATTGCTCGTGATGAGGGTGGTGTCATCAGCAAAGAACAGGGTTCTCCCGTCAATCCCCAGGTCGTTGATAAAAACCAGGAAGAGAACAGGCCCCAGGAAAGAACCCTGGGGGAACCCTAAGCTGATGATGTGAATGGTTAATGGTGTGAAGCTTCCTTTGATGTCTTCGGCTGCTTTGTCATGGTTTCGGGATATTGTTCCCCATGGCCATTCTTGGTTGGCGTAAGAGGGAGCATCAGCATTAACAATGCGATTATCAAAAAACGCTACTCTCTCAGCCTCCCAAATACCATTAACTTTAAAGTCAGCTTTTAAAGCATCAGGCACATTGTTTGCGGGATCAGCTTCTCTCATAATATGCTCGACTTCAACCCCATTCCAGGCCATATTTGCTATCGTAGCACAGTGCGATCTCGTTGTTGATCATGCCCATGTTTGATCAATCCTCCTTTTTTACAATTTAAAGCATGGGTAAGATTCATAGGTAGATCATAACCATCACATCGTACTGGTAAGTTTCAAATTTTAAATCCTTATAAAAAAAAATCTTTTTGGTAGAATGCCATACAACAATGACAGTTCAGCACTTCACACTATTGAGCTCGTGTAAACTACCAAGTGAGCGAATTACCAACACTGATTGAGAGAGGAGAGATGCCAGATGAGCAGCCTCTGTGCCTCTGGAAATCACGTGCTGGTGATGTCCCAAAGTAGTCTAGGTATGGACAGACGTCATCTATTTCCAACCAAACAATAAAGTATATTGTATACATTGTACTTTTCTTTATATTTTATACGATTTGCTTTACAAATGAACTCTCTTACATATAAATTGGTCATCTTTGCTTAGTGGCTTTACAAACAGAAAACATATCCAGTGCAGTGGGTCCTGAATCTGAAACTATGGTCTGGGTCTGAAACTTCTCTCAATTTCACTCAACTCAACCTCAAAAGTCAAAATAGTGCCAGAGCTAGAACAAAATGTCTTGTATTGTTGTCTCTTGCGATGGGAATTTGTGAAAGAAAATTCATCCTGGGTTGCCGTGATATTCATTACAATAGGATTTCCTGAGTAAATATAATATTCTTTACTTAAATTAAATATTCTTACTTCATTGAGCATAAAGATAATGCTGTTTGAAATTATGACCCTTGGTCTTTGTAATTAGGGTCTTAGTTTGTCATAATTTCCTAGTTATAATCTCTTTTAATTTAAATGAAAAAAATATTTCAAAGTCACAATTATTGTTTTTTAAACAGATTTATAGCCACAGTAAATAAATTCACTTAAATTAGGCCTACCTAGTTCATTTTGTAGATTTCTTTCATTCTAAGTTAACTTAGGCCTATAGATACTTTCAATGCATTTTTAACACAGTGCTGTGTACCTAGTAAGGCAACACATTTCAGTATTATAACTTAATTATGTCCCATATAATTTTGAATGGAATACATTCAAACAGTTTTTGTTCTTGTCTAAGAGACATTTTAGTCAGTCTTGCAACTAACATATTTTACTTCAATATCTTTGCCTCTTTTGAGTTTTCTCCTAGTTCAGCTTCTTTTCAATATAAATCTTCATAAATCTTCGGTTCTAGAACAACCGATCTTGATCAGATTTAACTATTACATTCTATTGTCAGAATATAAGATATAAAACCTACTCTGTTACCCATTCATGTAGCCTACCTATCTAGGGCCTAGCCCTAGTTGGTAGGATAAGCGTTTTACAGTAGGCTATCTTTAAATTACAATGGTAGAATCTATTAAATTAGGCCTACTTGTAGTGTAGGACACAACCGTCTGGTCATTCTAAGCTGTATTTGCAAATTAAGCTTAAAGGAGTTAAGCTACCTAGTTTATTTAAGTAAGTTATGTACCGTAGTTTGTAATTTTCACTAGAACAAAAATGTGACTAGCCTAAAATGTTCCCATTTTTAGACTAGGCACAAGCTAAACACATAAGGTAGCCTAGATGTAGCGAAATAATTTGTAGCCATCCAGACAATAGGCCCTAAACTAATTTGGTTACAATTTTTTTTTACCTGTGTTTTATGATGCTTGATTTAAGTTAGACTACTTCCAAAATTATGCTTATGCTATAGGCTATGTTGCTATAGCCTAACTTAATTTAGAATTTTAGAAATAAATTCTATAGAAACGCCTAGCCTATCTGAATATATTTTCCCTCAAAGAAGCTAGGATGGCTTAAAATGTTTGATTTTGTACAGTAGAACTTCTCTCAAACTAAACTAAGTTAAACAGTTCTAACCAAAATTACAATAAAATGAGAAGGCCTACATAAGAAAATAAATTAAATACATCTTAAACAAAGTTACTGATTGATGAGTGGTTTGGAGTTTAACTTAGGCTCTTGACTGCTAAGTTACACAATGCAACGAGAAATACACAACCCATCTACAAATTTACTAAATATCTGGTCTGCTTGAAGCAAGTTAGAAGGATACGAAAGTTCTGTTTGTCAGCTTCGTCCGAGGAGGTGGAAGATGAAAATAAAAACAAGAAGAATGGAAGATAAACAATATCAATAGGCCTAGAACAGCAGTATTTTAAAAATACATTGATCAATACATCTATACTTATTTAATACGTAAGCAGGTTTTTTGTGACAATTAAGTTACTCCTCCGAAACTACTGAACCGATTGACATGTTTTTGGTGTCATTGGAAAGAGCGTAACGTGAAGTTGTGCAGGAAACTTTCAGGAAACTTTAATTTTAGGAAAATAATTAGAGAGTGAGGCCCTGGGGCCCTTTAAAGTTTAGTATTTATCCATAAGATTAACATGGGAAACAAAAACTGTTATGAAACTCCAGCTGTTGCCAAAAATTAAAAGTAAGAAGAAGAATATATGTTGATTGATAACAGTCAATAAGTTTGCTAATTTAACAGTTTGCTACACACATTTACTGACTTGGTTGAAACTAAATACTTACCATTTGAATTTGGGTTGATGTAAATATTACAATGGAAAAAAGCGAGAGAGCCTGGATAGTTTTATATACTAAAAAGGAAACTGAAGTAACACTGTGCTGCATTTCTTAGTACGGTACTCATTGAAAGAGCCGAGTTGCAAACTATGGAAACATAGGAGTCACAAAACACCACCAAGGAGAATAAATAGAAATACCGGTAATGGTTTTTTTAAAATTATGATCGTTATTATGGACAACCTAATGCGGCTACAAGTAAGGCTATTTGTAGAAAACCCTAAAAAACAAGATCAGCTTTTGAAAAATGATAAGATATTTACAAGAAATGTTGATTATATCGATCTGTTATGTAGGCCTACTTCTTGAGTATTTCCATAATTTTTGAGTCGAATCTTTTAAAGTCATCAGAAATTATGACTGTTACTCGTTAAAAGAACGCCTGTAATACTTAGCAATTGCTCGAATTCGAGCAACCGGTACACTAGTGTATATTAAAGTTCAAAGTCCCAGTAAAAGTTACGGTATAACTTACATCCATCGATGTATAAAACTAACTGGATTGTGCGCAGGCTGTTAGGCTCATGTAGAGCTTTCCGAGCCAATATAGCTGTGTATCGGGGGTTGCCGCATGGGCGAATTGAAGGCAGCTTAGTGTTATAATGTGTTTCTTTATTTTACAAAGTTTCCTTAATAAAGTGTTTGCTATACAATCTCACTTTGTTCTTACTGTACTAATACTTTGCCCCAGAGTATTTGGTATTTTACGAGAAACTGATAACACCCATTGTAAATTAATCTATTTTGTGTTGTTACATTTTAAACATGATTTCTTTTGTTAGAGTAGTAAGGATAGAACAAAGTCATAAAAGTTTCTTCATTGTAATATTTTATTAGCCTACCGTACTTTTATTCCACCAGTTCATAGAAATAAAATTGAAAATTGAAAATATATTTTAACAGAAACCTCAGTGTGAAATATCTGCTGACAGTTAATGTTTATAGGCTAAATTGTGATATTCAAACTCGGTTATTCACAGAGTTATTTTTACGTTTTTATTACTTGTACAAAACTTCATGAAAAATTGTATTTAAAATGTCTTACAACGTTATAGTGGAGCGTACAGGGCTGGATGGAGTGCTCCGTCCTGGCTGCGAAAATACTAAGATGTGGCGCCGTGAGACGCTTAATCCCACATGACGCCAGCAAAATCTAAAACGCAACCCCGGCCGTTGGCTCGGGTCGCGGAGCCTAGCGGCCGATCCAGTTAGTTTTGTACATCGATGCTTACATCTTAACCTTTACAGGTCTACTTACATTGGTAGTTAGTTTAATTGTCTTTTTTTCTTCAAACTACCTAATCTATGAAGTGTTTGTGTCAGGGTAGGGTCGTCAAAAATGCCTTTATTGTCAAACAAAGTGACATTTGTTCACTAGAAGTTTGCAAAACATACAATATCTCAATTCACGTTTTTCCTAATTGTGTACTTTATAGTAAAGACATAGTCCCATTGCTTCATTAAGTTAATGCAGCTCATTCACAAAAAATTCTAACCTCAATTTAGTAAGGTACATCTGTTGAGCGCATACATATTTGAGTTGTTACATACCAGAAACTGTAGACAATAATGTAATGCGCAATTTGTGTTCAATGACTTGATGAAATTGATTCTTAAGGCTTTACTCTCGTTTTATAAAGGACCCCATTATTTTGCCTTGAAGTTAGAAGCATTTTGCTGCACAAATAACAGTTATGAGAGATTGGACAGTGATTTATTCTATACAGTGAGCTTAACCGTAGATTTGTTGTAGGTGGGGAGGGGCTGAGCCGCTGGGCTGGCTGAATGAGGGAGACAGTGAGGGGAGACCAATGGGCAACTGTTTCTCTAGAGGGAAGGGACGCCCTCCACCCCAGGCTGAACGATCGGAAAATTACGGCCCAGCAACTCAGAAACAGACACAAGGTCAGTAGACTACGGCGAACTGTTATGTCGATGAGTACAAGTTTCCATTCATGTTTGAAATCATTAGAAAATTACCGCATTAAAGGGTGGAATGTAATGAGTTAAACTTAGTTCTTGATGAAAAAAAAGATTCTTACAAATCAAAATTCTCCATAAAACAATGATTCTTAGAAAATCAAATTTTTATTTATTTATTTAAGTTATCGAGGTCTTCTTTTCTTACTTTGCTATGGCTAACTTAACGATTTCCATCAAATCTTGCTTTTAACTTCAATCGTAGACCGTTAAAAAGTCTTGCAGACTTTTTTTGAGATTTCTGGTGGGCTCTTCAAGTAATGTGGCATCAATCCTTTCAATATTTCTGATTGGGTTCTTACATTTGGGTAGGTATGTTACTAAACAATTTTTCTCCTATTTTTATAGGCAACTACATTTAATGAGTAAGTACTGTACTTAGGTTTACTGCTACAGGGAAGGGGAAAAGTGTTTTTTCATCAAATGTTAATAGTAACTTATAACTTGGTATGAAATAAATAAATTTGCAAAATTTTACGGCGATATATCCATAAACAAGCAAATTACAGCAGTATACTTTTACTTCATAAGAATAACATGGGAATTTTAAATGTACATTTTTTAAAATTTTCTCCGTAACCTTTGATTGTACATCAATGCTTCAATAGATAAAATTGTCTTTTTTTTAGCTCATAACAATGGCTGTGCCTAATAAAAGTTTGTTATTTCCAAGTTTTAAGGGTGAAAATAATAAACAAACAATTTTTGCAAATTCTTATAACCTCATAACACCTTGTTTTTATTACCTGATCTTGCTGGTTAGTGAACTCATTGAAGAATAGTGTTTTTGCTATTTGAGAGATCAAAAATTTTTAAAAATCAATCGGTCCCGGGTCTAGGTCTTTCTGTGCCATCTAAGGCAATAACTTCTTCCCTATATAGGAAAATTTGCTGAAACAATTTCAACTCATGAATACAAAAGATTCTTTAAAATATTGTCAAAATCACAATAGGCTAATCGAAACTTGTCATGTCGATAAAATAATTAAAAAATAATTAAAATGGAATAAAAAGTTATAAAACTGGTTATAACTGTAAAGGCTGGCCAGCACTGTCATATCACTGATTAAATAAAACTCTTTATCTCTTTTTTGTTTTTTATAGAATAAATTAAAATCCTAATGAGATCTAGCTCAACAAAATACATCATTATTAACTTTGTTTCTGGCTTGTATCTTCAGACCAATCTTCAGTCAATTTTATGCAGGTTGACCAAGTTGTTGGTTTTCCATCTCAGTCAAATAAAAGATAAAATGTGTAAACATTGATTGTTTCATTCATAACAGTTGAAAATTAGGCTATACTTTCTAACATTAAAAGGAAGAACATATTTTTAAAACTTATGATAGGGAGGTAAAAAAATATATTTTGAAGAGTCTTATATTAAAAATTACTTATGTCTCTTCATAACCGCTGAACTTATCAAAGGACTATGAGTCAAGCCAAGGAACTGTCAAAAGGTCTTGGAGACATTGTTTTGGTCTGTTTTAACTAAATTGATAATATCTTAATTTAAACACTGTCCTATAACAAATAATATTTTAAATAGTATCATGTATGACTGTAGTAGAGTTGCAATCAATGTTTAGATTACAGCCTAAGGGTGTCCAAATATTCTCCGAGTACTCACTCACATACAGACACTACAGGTCTTAATAACACATGCAGGTTACTACTCAGTAACCTGCATGTGTTACTTAAAATTGTAAGTTGTATAATACGTACCCAGGTTGTTGAGATAAAAGGGGGTTTCACTTTATAAAATATTGGTCATCGCATGTGTGCTGTTTCCAAATAGTCGTGGTCATAACTTAACCTGTAATTATTTTTTCCCTTGTTTCTGACAATTTTGAATTGTTCTAGCATATGTCATTTTGTGCTATGGATTAGTTTTAGAATTTCTATATAATGTATTATCAAATTTGATGCTGTGGTAGTTCTTGCCAACTCTTCTTCATTGAAGATTATACAATTTTCAATCTGCAATAAAACAGGGGTGTAACATCAAGTCTATTCTAAATTATTAACTCTTTTAAAATACCCTATATTAAACAAGTATTAGCTAAATACCCAGGTATTTATTTTGCCATATTGGATATGTAGGCCTATCTTACATATTATTAACATTACAGATACACACATTTGACACTAAGTTGTATGTTTTGGTGTTTACTCTAGTTTACAATACTGTATTAGTTTAAAGGCCGGTATCCTAGCTGTCAAATTTGGCTGCATTTCTCGTTACAAACTGAACATAAAAAATACAGACACATACACTGAAAATACAGACATTTTCCCAGCAGCTGGATTAGCCCAAGGAAAACTCAATACCAAAAAGATCCAATAATGCGGAGCAATAAACTCACTTTCTCTCTGCTGAAATCAACAGCTAGGATAACCAGCCATTAGCCTATTATAAATGATTTCCATCTTTACTACTAATAAACATTATGTTGTAGAAATCAACTGGGACATGTGCGCCGACCAATGTGTGAACCAACGTAACGGAAACAGTCTCAGCGAGCCTGTGCGCGAGAAAAGTGTTCGGACGTTTTACACCAGAGTGGGACGCGCGTCGGACGTGAAAATCGGCAAGACCGTGTCGGAAAATCGTATCAATAATTTGTTCGACATCTACAAAGACACTGATGAGGAAATCCAGGCGGAGGGCATTGAAAGGCTTTGTGCGGATTTGAACCTATCGCCAGACGAGTACCGTGTGCTGCTGCTCGCGTGGAAGCTGGACGCATCGCAGATGTGTCGGTTCACACGGGAGGAGTTTGTGAAGGGGTGTCGTGCGATGCACGTCGACTCGCTGAAGGGAATACAGAACAAACTGGCGGAGTTGGAGACGGAGGTTAGAGAAGACCAGACGGTGTTCAAGGACCTGTACAGGTTCACGTTCAGGTTTGGCCTGGACTCTGCGGCGGGACAGAGGATACTAGCGGCAGACATGGCCATGGACCTGTGGAGACTGGTGTTCTGCGGACAGGAACCGGCTATACTGCAGCGGTGGCTCAGGTGAGTTTAATGTGGAAGCATGCTCAGTTATAAATCACCATAATGCAAGGTGCCCAATAGTCACCTAATGCCACTGATTTTAAAAGGAGTAACTAGAATCACACAAAAAAACCCTTATTTTAAAAGGAGTCACAAGAACCTGGATCAATTACAATGGGGTCACGAAAGTAGCTAAAAATTAATTACCGTACTTTAACTAGGGGATCACTGAAGTTTAAAGTCATTGATCAGTCGGTGATTTTACTCAACCGATTAGACTAGCCTTATTAGGACACTTAAGTTGACCCTACTCTAACAATTAAATTAGGCACTTTTTCTGTAGAATATAAGAAATACTTTTTTAACTTTCTACTTGCCAAAAAGATTTTGGTAAACTTTTTACCCTACAATTTAGGTTGGACTCAAAAGATACCTATCAATTTAAAATTATTTTCAATAGGCCTAGTAGGCTAAACGTTTTCTAACAGTTTTTTTAGATTGAACCTAGGGTAGATTGTTTCTTTTAATTGTGAATATTGGTTTATTATAAAATAAAAGATTCTTCAGATTGATAACAAATGTTATCCCTATATAAAAATATGGTTTAAATAGTGGTATTCAAATAAAAGACCTAATAAATCTGACTCTTATATTGCACACATCTTACAGAGTGTGAAAAAGAGCATCTTGTCTTCTTAGACCAATAAATCTCTTGACTCTTGACACAATATGTACGGAAAAAGCTGCAGAATAAATAACTCTCTTCTTAATTTAACACGTAGAATCCATTGATGGTGCTGCCATGCAATTGATTTATTTTGAACCACGTCCACTAGATTCTTCATAGAAAATATTGTTTGCCAAGAACAGAGAAGTTCCATATGCCTATTCCTGTATGTCTAGGCTAATGATTAAGGCCCAATTCACACAGAACGGACGTCGGGCGGAGACGTGGCACGGACGAAGCAAAGACATATGTCCCTTCCTCGCCTCTCCATGTAAATAAATTGGTCAATGTACATTAAAGTGACGTGGCGCATGAAATAATACGATCTAATCATAAACAACAACTCGTCCACTAGCTATATAACCAAACAGTAAAGCTCAAATCATTAACCTTTAAATAAAAGAAACAAAGTTCCGTCGTCACTAGTGCCCAGTGTCACCGTACATTAACTAGACACGAAAAACGAGCTTCAAAATTTACAATGGGATGATAAGTCTACTTGTGGTGTTGGTTAGTCTATGGTTATACCTTTTCCGCCATTGAATCTACCTACACATATTACAGAGAAGTTTCCAAGGCAATATGTAGCAATAGGAGACTGTAAAATTAGATTCTAGATTCTGGGAATCAATCATCAAATCATAACAGATCTCCGTCATCAAAGTGCGATAGACGTGAAGGTAAAGAATAAATCTAAACAACTATTCCGTTCAGAATAATCAACAAACATTTGAGCAGCTGTTTATTGCTTGACAGGTTCCTCCAGTGCCATCCGCATATCCGAGGCATCCCACGAGACACGTGGTACATGTTCCTCAACCTAGCGGAGGCAGTGGGCGACGACTTGTCGACCTACAATGACGCAGAGGCGTGGCCGAGCTTATTTGACGACTTCGTAGAGTTTGAAAATGACCAGGCCAACCAGAACATCAGCAAAGAAAAGGAACAAGTTATAAAAGCTGAGTGGGACAGTTAGGTAAATTCAATGTCTGGCTGTTGGTAACTTTGATATCTTTACAGTGAAAATAGTAGTTTTAGCCCTTCTCAACAGGGTGAGAAGGCAAAAATGTGATGATGGCAAGCGTATTTTATGCAAGTGCTCCAAATAAAAGGTATATATAAAATAAATCAATACAATTATTCTTGTTTGTTAAAAATGATAACTTTGAAAGCCTGGGGGCAGAGCTCTTAGAGACTTAAAGATTAGAAATAAGGTAGAACCTTTCTAGGTATAGATACAACAAATTCCCATAGTTTTGGACTGAATCAAAATAAAGAACTAAAAGACAATTTTTTTTACCTACCGTATGCAATAGATTCTGATTTTAAAGTATGATTTTTTTAAGTATGATTTTTGAAGTATGAGTATCTAATCCTGCAGGAATCAGTAGTATCACATTTTACGTAGTGAACAATTTTCAAATGGTTATTGCGCAATTAGAAACGTTTAATTGATCAGAATCATAAAGTTTACCAAATTAAGGTATTTAAAAAAATAATTCGCCTCCCAATGTAAAAGCTTGCTGTTGAAATAATTAGCTTTGAGGTGGAGGCTTGGAGGCTCCGTTTTTATTTTTATCGTCGGCAAAATTTACAATTAAGATCAATTACCTGTAAGTGCCTGCAACTTTTAGTTTGATTATTCCTTTAAAGACATTTAAATTACAAACTTTTATTAATAATAACCAATTTGTCTCAGAGTATATTTGATCTTTATGACATAATTAAAAGTGTTTGACCTAAATGCTTTCTTTTAACAAACTACAGTCATGTATTATCATACCCTTGAACTTTTCTTTATATATTATAGGATAGGCTAAATTTATGAACTCCTTATTGAAGTTTTAATTTTTTACTTGCATAACTATTTCTATGTGTCAAACTTACAAACAGCCAGTAAACACTTTGTACTATGTGTGTTCACGATTTACGAATGTCCGTTAGATTAAGCTTTTGCCAAATTCGGTACAGGATGCTGTTATGAGCAAGTATAGCAATTTTTTATAGTTGTGTTTTTATGAATCGTAAAGTTTTACAAAATCTTAATGGTTGTATAGTTAATTTTCGTAGCATTGACTGCAGGTAGGTTCTAATAAAGTGATTTCATTGCTTGGCATGAATAGCCTATGTTTGTTTTATTGTGAGTTAGTATTCAGAGTAGTAGTTAATGAAAAAATGTATTCATTGATGACTAACATCGTCGATTGAGTCTGGTTTAAAAAATGATAAGCTAAGAAGTGGTGGTTGATTCTTTCATACTCCATCAATTAATCCTATTAAAGGCAGGCCAACTCATTTCAGTCTATCTCACTTTAAAGCGGCCATAAAGTTTGCAATGCCAATGAGATTTCAGCTTTACTATCCATAGTCAATGCGGTAATAAGCATAACCCTTTAATTTTATCGACGTTGCATAGTTTACTTATTCTACTGCCATGTGTTGTTTCTTTTAGGCTTACACGGTTTTAACCAAGCTTTTAGAAAGATGTAAAGAAAACTGTGTTTCTAAATGATAAGTTTATTGTGTTTAATAGACCTAGTCATTTTCTATACGTAGTTAAAATTTTTCTTCCCAACAGTGAACTGCTCAGTTTTAGTAATTAGGGCAAATGTTGATGTTTCATCGAACCCTAAAACGTGATAATATTGGTTGACAGATCATTTAATATTAATCATTACTTTTTTGTTGTCTTGTGTTGTTGTTTTTGTATTCAGAAATATGTACATGTGGTAAAACCGTAGTTTAATTTAAACTTTGCACTTAGATCTCGCTTACTCTTTTTTTTGTTTTCCTGTAAATCTTTAATCTTTTGTACAGACGTGTAAAGTTTTATTTATTGTTTTTATATTTTTTAGCTTAGTGTGATCTAGGGGAATTCATAGCATGACAAATTATTCTGGTGTATTTAGCTTTAAATTGGATAGTTTCCTGTTAGTAAATACCACCACTTATTTGGTCTTTAGGTTGTGTAGTTAAAACCTGAAGACAGTATTTTTATTTGTTACAATCGGCAACTAAGCCTAAACCTTGAACATTTGATTTATGACCTTTTTTGTGCTATACTGTTACTAGTATCACAATAAATTAACCCTTAGTACTCCCTACACTGCCTCACAAAAGTATTTATTATTTTGATAGGATTTGTTCTTAATTAGTCTCAATTGACGGATCTAGAAACCAAACTGAGTAGTGGTATGAAAAAAATGAATAGGGAGAAATTCCAAAAAAGGTTAATCTAGGTAAATTGTGTTTGCCAAGCTAAGTTTTTATAATTTCAGCTTCAACCACAAAAGTGCCCTTTGCAAGGTGTAAGGAAATTGTACAGCATTTAATTTTATAGTTTTTTTATTTGGGAATTTTTATTTAACTTAGCATTTTTGGATAGTGTTGAAATGTTAGTGTAAAAACATTAATTTAGTGCACTAGACAACTTAACCCATGGGGAAGAGAAAGCTCTTTTTTAAATAAGGAAAAATTGAATTCAAAGCTAATTTACGAGAAACATTTTATTAAATTTATATACGGGTATCGTATGTAATATACCCAAAATCTGACTGCATAAGGTATATAAATACATTAATCTATAAGCGTTGTGATTCTTTACTTTGGGTGATTTTTTGTTTAGTTATTACCTTAGGGAGTCGATTCTATATGAACAATCAATAATGGTCTTTGACAATAATTTTACTTGAAAAATTTACTAGTTTTAAGTTTGAATCAATTGCTTGTTTGTTTCTCAGAACAAAGACTTAACCCAGAACTCTTAACAAAGCAATAAAAAACAACGTTGCTGGATGGGCTAAACTTGAGGGTGGTAGGAGAGAAAACTGAAATTACTAGACTGTTGCCATCAGCTGATCCAGTGGCGGATCTAGAACAGTCACAAGGGGGGGGGGGCGAACCGGGGGGTTCAGGGGTCCCCCCGTGAAAAATTGGCGTAAACTAAGTGTAAATTATTTTACGCAATGTGTCTATACACTACTGTATTACATGCAGTAAAATAATATATGTATATATATGTATGCCGAGGGGGAGAAGGTCGCCCTCTCTCTGCATCCGCCACTGAGCTGATCATATAGAAAAGGGAAATGCATAGGCCTACATTTAAATAAATCTCAGCGACAGCAGCACTCTTAAATTGTAGTGATAAAATTTGCAGATTCAAATGCAACTGTTTTTTAGCGTACCTAGTGAGAGATTCTGAGTTAGGTCTTCATTATGTGTTAATATTCTATAACTTGACATTTTTTATGTTTACCAAAATCAGCTGTTTGTTGTATTTAGTAAAATATTTGAAATCAGAGAAGAAAACATTTAAATAATCAGTTGACACCTGTTAGGAGCTTGACAGATGATTAATTAATTTTTAGAGAAGATTTTGACTTGAAAAGTTAATAAAAAAATTTGCAATTTGAATTAGATGTCAAAAATGTTTAACCCTAGTTTAATGTTTAACACGTTGACTGCGCGTGCCGACTTTAGTCGGCGTCGCCAGCGCTCCCAGGTGGCGCGCGCCGACAAAAGTCGGCACCAGACCAACAGGAATATATTGAGTCAGTGTGAGCTTAGCATCAGACAGATACGTTATAATCGTTGCCAGCCTGCCAGCTTAGAATGCGAGCTTTACTTTGGTGTAGGTTGGTACTAAAATTTCCCGTAAAATCCTGTCTGGCAATGCTTTTGCCCCGGTTTCGGGGATTTTTTCTCTTCAACCCACATTACAAAGACACTGGATACGGATCCGTGCAGTGCTGCTACCTTTGGGTGTTTCAGTGAACTACATCCACTCTCGGGGTAACGCAGCACAGTCACCACTGCTCTTTTGTGATTCGTCAGACTGAAATATTTGAATGCCAATTGCGTTCGCTGATTCGGTTGCGCGCCGGGGCTTCGCCCGCCACTGGGAAGCGCCTGTAAAGTCGGCGCGCGCAGTCAACGTGTTAATACTTTATTCTTTGAACATATGTGGATTCATGATCGTTGGTAAAAAAAAAATATAAAAATAAATAAACTTTGTTTTGATTGGAGGGATGATAAAGAAAAATTTAACAGATTTTTTAATGTTATCTCTTACTTTAAGTACACAATGGAAAAAATTAAGTATTAATGTAGATGAAAAAGTAGATAACTTACTTTTTTAAATTAGTTGTATTAATATAATTAAAATTTTAATTCTGTTGTGTGAGTCAGAACTTGGCCAAGTTATAGTTAACATAACTAGCACCACATTCTTAGAATGAAAGTTTGTTTGCAAACAACATTTTTTATAAAAGTCCCTTAATGAAGGGATGGTCTGCTCTACATTCGTGGTCTCTGAGCTGAAATGTTTTATCTTCACTGTCAATACTCAATTACTTAATACCAAAATCGAATGCCATTCTAAACAATAATCAACAATTTCTCAGTATTCTTTAAGACTGATGGAATGGATCGACTCCCCATTTGGTTTCTTTAATGGCTTCAGCCAATCACAAAGTCTTCCGTCAGTTTTATTTTAGTTGATTTGTGAATGTTACTTTGATAAAGTTCTGGCTGGGAAAGAGATTGTCCAAGTTAACACTTACAAACGTAAGCCTGAGTATAGCTCAGAGCATTAGTTACCCTGTTGTTACTAGTGTGGTTATAGCGGCACTTGCTGCGTTTGGCTGGTGGTGGCATGGTAGGTCAGCTGGCTAAGGCGTTGCACAAACGAGTGTAGCGTTAAGGTCTTCCTACATGCGGGGGTTTGAATCCCGTACATGTGCAATCCATATTAAGCTTGATAATGTGTGTATTAGTGTGGAGGGCTCACCTTGAAGAAACGGTGTCCGGCTTGGTTGGAAGTTTACGGCGAAACCTGTTTTGCTTCATTTTACATAAGTATGAAGGAGGACAATGATTTTTATTTTATTTATTTTTTACTTTGGTTATGTATGGACATAATGTGTTGAAATAATAATAAATGTATGTTAACAGACAAAAAGGACAGAGAAATAGAAATGTTTATTTACTGTACTGCATTTTTTACGCCAGTGGCATTTTTTACATTTTGAAAGAGAGCGGTCAGAACCCTGGTCTTGTTACTATCTAATGTCGACCTTTTTGTTAGGTAGGATCTTTATTAATTCATATGGGTCTGGAAACGATCTCTTTTGAAATCAAATTAGTTATCTTCAGATTTTAGGGTGAACACTATAACATCTCAGCTACCCAGACAAATACAAATAATACAAATATACAAATTAAAAGTTTAAAACTGCAGATGAAAGGAGATCATTTAACTTATTCCCTGTAATCTCTCAATAAAGAAGTTTTGTCACAATATTCAGATCCAAGTTCCCCTCGGTTTAATCATTTTATCAAAAACCAACATACAATTATGTAGACATGTGGTTACGCTAAATTAACCATTCCTTTAATTTTCTCACATTAATTATCCCTCAAAAAAGTGTTAACTTGTTCACTCTCTCCTACCAGTTTTATCGGTTCAGTACAGGATACAGGATATGTCCATGTACAGTTTTATATATGTATAGACTATCGGAGTGTAAATTTCTACGTTCTCCCTCCAAAGTTCATGCCATGGTGAACGTAGAAACGTCACGTAGGGTTGTAAATAGCTTTGTGTGATTTGTATTTAAGAAGATTCTAAGACTGGTGTTTTCATTGTAAAAATAAGCAGGGATTTGTTGGTTTGTGTGAAGTTTGTTGGAGACTTTTAAAGTGAAAGTTGGTAATAGTAACATCCTGTGTTATCAGTAATAGAAAACATCTGTTTATTATTCAGAGTAAGACAAATTCCAAGGACAGCCCCTGTGGGCTCATTACCCATTGAACATCTCACAGTACTTTAGCATTTATATACTAATACAGCTAACTCCTAAAAACGTGATATTTGTCAAAGGTTAGGTCCTATGGACGTTAGAAAGAAAAAAGTCTTAATCTTTTCAAAACATAATATTTTCTGAAATTTCACTGCGAACCAACAATCTCGCTTTTCATTATCGAACTTATATTCTGTATGTGAACAATTATCATTTATAAACCGATCGGGTGTATGTTTGTGTGTTTATTGAGCTATTTATAAAGATATCCTTATTTGTTGTAACTGAAATGTAATATTATAAATGCAAAATACAAATATTTTCAACTGTATGGATTTTTTTCTGTTTGCCAGTAGTTCCTTTTTTTGATACATTTTTAGGGACAATAATTTTAAAAATAGCTTTTACCTATTAGTTAATAAGCTGTAATTAGAATATACAGTAACATGGTAAGTAGGCCTAAGGATGAAAGGATACAAGTAACTCACTGTCGCTCCAGAGTTCCAGGCAGTTGATGTAGTGATGTGCCAAGCCGAATCTCATATGGGGAAAGTTTTGGTTTTGAAATTCAATTGGTGCGGTTCAAGATTTGAAAGGTTTTGGTGCAATAAGGGATTTTATGGCATGTCCGATTTCAGGCCCCTCAGGTAGCGTACAAAAACGGTTTTAATTGGTTCAGAAGCTTTTTTGTGTTATTAAAATGTTTTGTTTACATTTTCAAGTAGAAACTGTCCAACAAATCTTGCCATTTATTAACGTTTATTGTGAGCACTGTATTGTAGTTAAGTTATACCTTGTTCTCGTGTAATGGTAACACATCGTCTGCGCAGTGATGTGTGTCCAGTACTACGAATGGAACAGAAACAAAGAAAACTGATGAGTGATTTTTAAAATGTGTGTCAAAGAAACGAGAAGCTTTGCTTTAGAGTTTGTGTCAGTTCTAGATACCACCGATTCTTGAACATTGGTATTGAGGATAAGTCATCAAGAGAAGACAACAATATCAATAGGAAAAATTTGAATGCAAGTTTTAATCAATGAAATTCAACAATATTTTTCAAATAGTGTTTTCATTAAGTTCAATCTGATTTAGAGAAACAAGTGGAAAAAATCACTTCACACAAATTATTTCTGTTTATGTTATGTCATTATCTGCCAATCTAATTAACCGTGATGAGTGAATGATATTAGCAAATCTCTGTTAGATAGGACAATTTCAATTATACAAAAATGAATCATGACCAATCTTGCCAGGTTGGCATTTGCAATCGAATGATTAAAGTTGTTAGTACTGATTTAATCTAGTGTTATTCCTTGAGCCAGATGGAATATCGCCAGGAGTGGTTACTGGTTAGTTAATATTTGGGTTGGTTCATGATGTGAAGATTGGTGGCTGAATTAGAGTCCTTTATAAGTAATTTAGTGAGAATAACAGTGTGTAATAGTATATTACGATACTATCCCCGGTAAGTAGTGTTTTACGGTGCGAGCACAACAGATTTTGTGCGAGTACGTTAAAGCTTACCGGGAAAGTAACGTTAGATTCTTTACATCATAATACACAGAATAATTAGTACATTTTAAACGCATAACACAGTTTATTTAGGACATAATATAAATTATAATATTTTTACAATACAGAAAAAATAAAATAGGCCGTTGCAGTTTGCTGTTTATTTCATCAGCTGACTAAGTGCACAGTAAAAATCAAAAGTATATAACGTTACTTTTCCGTGTTTAGGCACGGAAATAGGCAACTTTCCAGCCTATCAATACGGTTGGAAAAGTACCTGTTTCTGTGTAGTATGATGTAAACAAATTTAAAAGCTCCTATAGTTATAGTCATAGACAAATTAACGTGCTCAGAAGTTGGGTCTATGTCCCGAGCAGGCTTTTGTTCACAACAACAAAATAAAGGGGATCTTCCCTTTTACTGTCAGCTTGACTGAAGTCGTATTTATGGGGACTTGAGAGCGACCAGTAAGTTTCTTTACTAAAAATAGCCTTATTATTTCCATCAATCCAGCTCAAATTGTGCAACTGTCTTGTAATGTTGGTGTGTGTTGTGTGTTTTGACTTCAACGACGCTTCAGCTGAGATTTTGTGTCTGATGATGGCATTATGATGATGAAACGGCCATAACCTACACAGTTACACCATCGCGCGCCACTCATCCTACACTCATCTCCATTCATACTTGGCTGAAAATACCTACTTTGTATGGTCGCCATTTCATTGAAAAGTATTAAAGTATTTGAGCTGGGTTGACAAAGGTAAAGCCTATTTTAGTTACGTTAGAGCTCAGGGGCTATAACATGGATTTTAATTTTCTTAAATACAACGTACAAATGAAAATAAAACAATGCAGCACTGTGGTTTCCCTGAACATTCCTGTTGATTTCTTACCAAATTCCACACAAATTGGTCGACATTTACTAATTTTATTCCCATACTTTTTGCATTTATTTACACATTAGTTAGCTTTCGAATCTTCAATACTTGTAACACAGTAAAAACAATTAATCTCACCATATTTATTTAATCATTATTGAAAAAATAAAAAAATAAATTGGAAATTAAATCAAAACAAGTATGGGTTAACTGGTTCACAACTATAAACCGTTTTCACACTAATGAGAGTTTGTGTGTCTCTTCAAAATTTATATTAAGTAGAATCTCGCAAATCAGAAATGTGCGCCTATGTATGAAAATCGGACAATTTTATTAGGGACGGTAGGTAGTATTTTTGTGGAAATTCTTCTTTTCTGGTTCCTAGTGTCAAGTCATTTATCATTTCCTGAGATTTATTGGAAAGAGCATTGCTAGGACACAAAATCATTTTGCCTGCTCCCAACTTACATACCTTGCAGTAGCTCCCCCTGCAACCTGAATCTGAAAGAATTTAGCTTTAGTTTGCGCATTCCCATTGCAAACTGCCCACTACATACTGTAATAGATAATAATTAATAGCCCAGCACGACCAAGGCAACATCTTGAGATGCAAGTAGAAACAAAATATAGCTATCACTATTCTCTTGTACATCGACAGGATTTGTATTTGTAACAACAAGACTGATAATCTGTTGCTAGTAAATTTTGAAGAATTGACACATGAAGACATTAGTGAATTCATATTCAATATGTTTGATAAATACAGTAATATCTATCCTTTATAATGATATTAGTGCTTGAGTTATAAAAAACTTCAATCTTTAACTCCATGCTAAAGTGATATTTCAATCCTTGCAATATTAATCAACTAATTGTAAATCTTCAGTGCTTAATTCTTACACTACATTATTGTGTACATAATTGGTACATTATGTTGATGACATCATGTTTATATCATCATCCATTTATCATACTCATTGTTTACATTCAAGTAGGGGATTCCCAAACCTTATCTTTGCTCTTTTTTTAAGATAAGAAATGTTATGTGAGGAACAAGTTTACATCTATGGAACAAGTAAGCGAGATAACTCCTCTTGTCTTTTGTTGAGGAATGTTATGATGGTAAACAACAACCTACAAACATTTATTTGCTCCTTAAATAGAGAGCATCAAAAAGTAATATACTTGCTGCAATAAGAGAGGACACAAGAGGACAGTCAATAGCAGTTGTACAAAGAAAAGGATTCTAAATGTATTCAGAATGTAGAACTCAGGATTAGTATTATACGTAGCCCGTATCAATAATAAATCATTGAAATAGTGACGCCACCTATAGGTGCATATTTTAAAAATATATCAGTGAATGATGAGTCTAGGATGGAGTGAGATGATCTGTATTGCTTGTCTAAGGTCAGCTGGTTCATCAGTCAGGATCATTTATTTAAAGCCCAGATCAGAAAAAGCTGATTTGAATCAATTTCTACCATCAAAAATATGCTGACTCTTCTCTCAGGATCGAACCGGCGACCTTATTTATGATTGATAGGTGAAGCGCTAAAAACCAATTGGCTACCCTGCCAGTCAAACTTCAATGTTGTTTGAAGATGTGTTGCTAACATTTCCTGCCACCTATGTAAGTCTGACCCTACTTCTGTTCTTCGCTAGGTTTGTTCATGTATGCAACTAGAGCTGCTTGATTTTTTTACAAATAAAAATTACTTGAAGGAGACACTGAATCTCCCCGTTTCAGTGTTTGTCATGCAGATATTATGTCATTGCTTCCAACTACTCTCAATTGCCACTGAGACCGGAATATCAAATTGTCTCAAGAAAAAGAGCATGACACAACACAACTGAAATATGAGACTTGAGTATTAGTATCACCAAAGATTACATATGCTACGCAAAATTAAAAAAATTTTGCGTAGCATATGTAATCTTTGGTATCACACATATACAACTAGGTATGACTACACTAAGTAACATGCTTGCTTGATTCAGAGTAAATTTCTTTTTGGAATTTTTAATGATGTGCAAAGTGTAGCAAGTAAGATTTTCATATCACTCGTGTGGCTAAAAACTATTTGTAAAGATGTCACACCAGGTAAGACGAGCAAAACTTGTCTGTTCACAAACTGTCTAGCACTTGACACATTATTGTGTGTGAATCATTTGCTCCACTAGAATAAACTGAAGTGCGATCTTGAACGTTCATTGTAACACTTGGAAATCTTTACCAACATCCTGTCCTGTTCAACTTCAAACTCTACCAAAATACCACTCAAATGATCAAGTTTAGAAGAATGATGCTTTGTGTAAGAGAATTCAGAAATGGTGAGTTTTTAATCATGACATTTCTTGATTTACGAGTTGATTGTCTTATTGGTGCTCACCTTGGGATGGCTGGTGTAATGGTTAGAGCAACAAGCCTTCTGTCCTGAAGTCCCTGGATCAAATCTGGCCAATTACTAATGTTTAATGGTTACCATTTCAATGCTTGATTTTTTATTTTGAAGTCAAACAAAAAGTGCAATAATGTAATATAGTACATTGAATGCACTGAATAGCGTCAAATTATCTTCAATAATAAAAAAAAAAAATTTTGTCATAATACAGTAGCCTACCGGTAATCGTAAATACATTAAAACATACTTCATATTTACAACAGCAAAAGTTAAGATTTTATTCAAAGCTTAACTGGTGACAATGAACTAGTAGGAACTCAAAAATGTAACATATGATTCAAGCTGGGGTTGAGATAACACTTCCTCTAAGACTAAATATCTTAAATCTTATAGATGTAAAGTGGTCACAAACTCAAGTAAATGTGAATTTGCAATTTCCTGAGTTAATTGCATTGATATATCAGCTTTTAGGCTTTCCCAAGTGGAAACACAATAAACATAACTTAAAACATTAAAGTGATGTTTACATTTGGTTTGAAACGCAATTCCGTTTGGCAATGCACATAGGATTGCTGCCAAAAACGTTTGTCACGACTTTGTATAGGTTTGAAGTGTGGATGCAACTTTGAGACTGAAATCTTTCCTGTAAATATTCAATGGCAATTATTAATACACACATCATTAACCTTTGAAAAGGCACATTGTTCGACTTTAACATCAGTAGATAAAACAAACTATAATTTTAAATTTGTGAGTCAAACTTTTTCAAACATTTTCCTGTAACTTATTGTACTGAATAGCAAATTGAATCCGACAATGAAAACGGTACTGGGACATCAAAAGTATAACACATTGTAGACAATTGCCTCTTGTGACTTAGTAGGAAACTTTACTCAGGAGATAAAAGTTCAACTTTGCACAAAGTTAATTTTTCCGCTTTCAGAAAAAATTGACCGGAGTAACTTTATTACTGACCAAATCAGCTGTTTTTGTTGGGCCATTTATAAAATTTAGCCAGAATAATCAAACTTACTTTGGAATTTACTAAGATATTATTTGGACAGGAGAGATTGGTATCACATCTGCAAGCAAATACCAGTAACTAGACCTAAACAAACCCTAGAGGAGATACACAGGATGAGAAATAAAGAATAAAATAGTTGAGATACATAAAATACAACTTTATTAAATTTGTACATTCAAGAAGTGAGATTAATTTTAAAATACAGAAAATATTGCCGACTGCTCTATACAATTTTGTAAAACCTACAAATATTATGGACGGTTCTTTAATATTGTAGTAAGTTAAAAGCTGCCAATTTTAATACTCAGTCGAGTTACACGTGTATTGTGTTCAAAAAGAGAAAACCCCCTACTATAGTGTAGATAATAAATATCAGGCTAATTCTTATTCATCATATGACAATGGAAGAGCTGCTTGAATTTTTACTGGCCTGTTCACAGCTGTGCTTAACCACAATAATTGTATAAATTAAAATTTCAACATAGAAAAAAGATTCAGTTTGAACATAATTACCAGTACGGCTTACAATGATGCCAACTTTGAATTCCCAATCTTATGATAATATTGCATTGATTCTACAAGATACACTACCGGTATAGTTATATTTGGATGGCACAAATGGTTATGAATATGGATCAAAAGCTATCGAACAAGGATTTATTTATAAAATGTGCAAATCTAAATTCATTCTAGGCCTACATCTTTTACACCTAAGCTATTTAGACTAGCTATAGGATGCAGCAACTCGATTTAAAATCTATGAGTGCTGCATAATATAAACTGAAGGCATTTAATTTTATCACAAAATATTTACCTATACTACTCCAAGACTTACCGGTACAGTATTATTATTGCGATAAAATAGCTATAAAAGCGACATCTTTCAGCCAAAACACACTTCTCGAGTGAAGGAACTGTGTACATATTCACTGGGAACTTATTAAAAAACTCAATTAATAAAATAACTTAGAAGTTTTAAACCAAACTATCGAGTCAGTCTTAGAAAAGTACAGAAAACAAAGTCAGTCTCTAGCCGTTAACAACTGTACAAAAACTAAAACTCTTTATGAACAAAAATGTACAGCACAACTTTGACTACACTTTAAATTAATTGTAAAAACCAAAGCGTTTACAAAAACACTTGCGTGACTCACACACAGTTACTTAAAAAAACTTCAGGAATACTGTTTTAAATAAACAACTTAAATTACACATTCACTCGAGATTATTTACGCGGCTTTATTCTCTGCTTCGTAAGACTCTCTTTCACTGGAGCCTTCCTTATTCTCTCCAGACGAGGGTTGTTCATTCCCACTCGGTGCTGCTTCACCTTTGGGTTTCTCCTGTTCAATTTCCATGGAGTTTTCTCCTTTTTGATCTTGCTCAGTTTTAGGCTGGCTTCCATCGCCATTGCCACCAATGTTATCAACACCTTGGCTCAACTGTTCAGCTTCCATGGCTTCTGATTTCTCGCCCTCCGACTGCATTTTTTCTTCATTTCCGCCAGGCAAAGAAACTTTATTTTCAAGGGCACTAATATATTTCTCAATGGTCTTGATCATGTTCTTCCTCGCAGCTCTAACTTCGTCGCGGCCTTCTGTCTCTATATTGTCAAGTTTAATCAGATTTCTTGTGAGCAGCTCATCGAGATAAATGTACTCCTTGTCTTTCCTCGAGGTGCCATTAAAGTTGTCAATTTTTGTTTTTAACTCTTCTACTTCTTTCTGAACACACTCGACCCTGTATAGCGGATCGTTGGGGTTGACTGGAGGTTGTTGAGGCTCAGGTTGTGTTTGTTGTTGTGGATGATGCTGTGGTTGTTGAGGATGATGCTGTTGTTGTGGATGATGCTGATGTTGTTGAGGATGATGCTGTTGTTGTGGATGATGCTGCTGTTGTTGTGGATGCTGCTGTTGATGATGCTCATACCTTGTCTGTATCGGTACTTCCTTCTCAAATCTTTGGCCTGGAACTTCTTTCTCGCGTGACTGAACAGGCACCTGTTTTTCAAACCTTTGGATGGGTACTTCTGTTTCAAACCTGGTTTGAATCGGAACTTGTTGTTCGAAATGAGGTGGGTTCTGGTCAAATCTTGGCGGAGTCTGTTTTCTCGGTGGTTGTTGATAATGGGTCTGTGGTGGTGCGTAGTGTTGTTGAGGAGCAGCGTGTTGGGTGACCTCAGGCTCCACTTTTGGTAACAGAGGCTCGTCTCGTCCTTCTACAAAGATCGGGATGTGTCTAACTGTTGAGCTTTTATGCTGTGGTTGCTGGTTAGCCTGGGGCTGAGGTTGTGGTTTCGGTGGAGCCATTGGTGGCTTAGTTGCATCACCTGTACTCGAACTCTGTTGTGGTTGTGTTTGCAGCTGTGGCTTTGCGTCAGGATTCACTGGGTTGATTTCGATTTTAGAAACAAAACGAGGCTTTTCGTTACGGTTATCAGGCGGCGGTGCTGACCAAGATCGTTGTCCACGAGATTCTTTTTCCTCTGCTTGTTGTTGCTTCTGTCCCATATCAGGAACAGTGTTCCTTAGGTTCTCCTTTGCTCTTCCTCGCAGAGAGTCGTTGTTATCCTCTTTGTTTTGTTGTTTACTTGCCTCGTCAGTTTCTTCCGACCCCCGTCGCTTCCGGCCCCAAGTATTTGTCTTGGGCTGCTCGTCAGTCCAGGCAGGATAGCGCAGATGGTCAGCAAGTTCTGGATGTCTTTGAGCGAGATCTTCTAAATGAGAACGGATGTCAGGGCGACCTCTAGACGATAGTGGGTCTTCAAAAAAATGAGCGGCCTGGAACAGACAAGAAAATACATTAAATAGCTAATAGGCCAACAGTTGTTTTTTCAAACATCAGTTCAGTGGAACAAAGTTAACACGTTCACAGCTAATGATATTGTACTATACGTATGGCTATATTTGTGATGCTAATTTATGTTAATTTCCTGTTATATTATTTATATAAATATATTATATCAATAGTTAGGTAGGCTACCGAACAAGTAGGCCTATACTTATCATCAGTTCGCATGACAACTTAACTTTTTAAAAGAACAATGTTTTTTAACTGTTATAATCCTCTGCAAGGTTTATACATTTATAGCTGTTGACAAAACACAGTCACACATTCAATACTATTCAGTATTCAATATGCATAACTCTAAACTAATTGTTTTTTTTTAAAAACATTATTAGTCTATACGCCTAAATGACATGACATTTTATTGACAACAGATAAGAAGTTGGTTTATCATCTGATAATTTAAAAAAATATGGATATGCCTAACCTATATATTTACGATTAGTCATCAACATCATTAAGTTTCAAAGCCTATTATTATTATTATTAAAATATTAATATAATATACAATTGTTTGGGTAAAGGGCTACTATTATAAATAATAAATTAATCATACTAACTCAGTACCCTGAAATTATTTTTATTTTTTAAAACTCTTTTGTATTTACTTCTCATCAATTATATTAAATAGAACAATCAATTTTATTTTAGAACAAAACTTTTAATAAGGTGAACTTAAAAACAAAAACATAGCAACAAGAAAACAACTATTATCATATGGCTAAATTAAAACAGTAACACATGACAGTCTTCCTCCCTTATAAATTCAATACCGGTATTGAAATTTTAAAATAAAAAAAAAATAAATAAATAAATAAAAATAATTTCATAATTTCATGACAGTCTTCCTCCCTTATAAATTCAATATTGAAATTAAAAAATAAATAAATAAAAATAATTTTAGGGTACTGAGTTAGTATGATTTCTTTATTAATATAATATAATATAATATTTTTAAAACCAAAATATATAAGAGAAAGGCATACCGGTAACTTAAACATTAGATAAATTTATGTTAACAACCAAAACAGTTTTTGTGTTAAATAGCAACAACAACAAAATGTCAAACATGTTGTGTGTTAAATGTCAATCTAACTTAATAAATCAGTGAATAAAAATTCTTCTCGCTTCTGAATGACAATCTCAACTGAAAAACTTAAGTTAGCCCTACCGGTACTTCTGCAGTGAAAGTCGTTTGGTGGGGAGGGGGGGGGGGCAGAAATCAATAGCCTTAGAGCTTACAGTATAGGTAGACTGACTGAAGTTCAATCAATATGACCTTGAGATGAGCAATCAGCTGTAGACTATTTAAGGTACCTAGCCTATACAGCATAACTTAATGAGCTACTTCATATAAGAAGGTTTTAAAAACAAAAGTCTGCCCTAGAGGATTTAAGCTCTGAGACTAGGCCTACACCACAAAACTTACAAGCAACAGCGAGTACTAAAAAAAAACAAGTTATAACAGTGATGGAACTTTATGCTTAAGCTTACCAACACGGGTACAGTTCTACAGAGAACCTGCCAAGTATTATCTGATGAAAAATAATAAATATCACCTATTTACATACTGTAGCCTATACATCAATATTTATGCGGTTCAATATTAATATCGTATTATATTGAACATTTTACCATATAACTTATGATATAGCCTAGGCTTAAATTAACTAAAAACAACATGTTAATTTAACATTTCCTTCGTTTTTTCTTAGACATTTGAGAATAAAAATAAAAGAAACCTTGAATTTCTTATTTCTATATGTGGTTACCATGTATCAATATTAAACCCTTGTTTGAAGGTCATTTTAGTATTTCTTTGTTTCTTCATCATTAATAGCCTACTGTATTTATTTTGTTACATACTTTTCATAAAATATATTTTGTTTTTGGTTTGATACACTTAGTTTATTAAATATAAGAAAATTGTAGGCTAATCAATAACGTAGGCTAGCCTAAGTTAAGTTATATTGAATCAGATAAAAATCAAAAATCCATATTTATCGTTATTTATCCAATATCGCAGTCTCTGCGGAACTGTACCCATCAAAACCTTATTCACCTTAACTTAGTACCGTAATTTTCAGAAACTGGGCTATGGGATAGTAACAAATGATGTGACCATAAATTTGGATAGGTAGGCTTAGGCCTAAGCACAAGTTTTACTTATTCAATTAGGCCCTAACTTATTGCGAAATCGGTTTTTAGGTGTAGGCCTACTGATATGGGTACAGTTTCTTAACTGCGCTAAATTAGGCTAGGCCTACTTTCGATTGAAAAATATCGATTTTATTTAGAAAAACCTTTATTAGATTTTTTTTTTTTAACTAGCCTAAGCATAAGTTATCAATTAGCCTATCAAGTATAAAAATGAAACTGTTAGCCTAACCAAACTTGCAGATAATAAAAAAACTGAATTAATGTTTAAGTTAAGATATACTAAGTTAACCCTCCGAGTGTCCCTTGTTTTGGCCTTAATGTCTGCATATTTTTTGCTCATTTGCAAGGTTTTATTAAAACGGATCTGAGAAGCTTGAAAACAATGTTAATTATACTATTCTAAAGGTATACCATTTTGTTTGGAAAATCATGGGCTTCAATATTATACATAGAACATAAGGAACATTTGTTTAAAAAAAAATTTTTAGGTAAAAAAAATTTTGGAAAATTAAAAAAAAAAAAAATAAGTTTGCGCTCAATGAAATTGTATAAATTATAGGCATATAAATATTTGAAAATAGCCACTTTGTTCTAAATTTTATGAGGATTACAAATATATAATAATATAAGGAAGTAGATTTGCAAATAAATACCTACTTAAGTTATGGGCAAAAAACAGATTTCAGTACATAGCGTTTAGCTAAGAATGCATAGCCTAACCATAGCTAGGAATCTGGCTGATAATTTACATCAATATCACTACCTGCTTCTTCAGGATCATCAACCAGCCCTTCAAAATCACTTAAATCTTCTTAAATAATGCACTACGTATATCACTACTTTTGATTTTTAACACTAAAACAATGATAAACGTAATAAAACACATCAGTCATCGGTCTGAGGTTAACCAAGCTGTTTACAAATACGCACGTCAGCTGTCTGCTACAATATTTTTGGAACTAAAATGAATAGCGCTTAGAGACAGACCTCCGGAGAAAGCTCTGAATCTGTCAAATAAAACGATACCTAACTCGATCCAGTTCAATCCGATTTTGTCAGTCATAGAGCCTTCGCCGTAAACAGTGTTTGTGAGTCGCTGCAGCGACATATAACACTCGGAGTGTTAATCGAATCAATATTTTCAATCAAGTAGCATAGCCCAGTTAAGCAACTGGGTAAAACTATCAACCTCCAAACAACGTTCAAAAAAATTTTTTTTTCAAAATGTTTGTTTTTTAGTGCTGATTTAAAAAATGATAGGCCCTATTCATTTTTGCGGACACGTCCCGTTTTCCCGGAAAATGGGAAAAATCTTTTTTTGCCCAAAACCCATGTTGTGGGTACTCAAATTGTGCGGAATTTCCTCCTGAACAAGAAAATTTAATTTTTATTACGATCGGACTAACCTAACCTAACCCAACTAATCCTAACCCAAAATAAAGCCCGCATTCTACAACGGCTTAGAGTCACCAGCAATGCTAGCGCTATGCAACAGTATAAGTAAGTTAGCCAGCGGCCGCTTTTCCGGTGATATTTTACTTAATAGTGGTCCGATCGTAATAAAGATTACATATTCTTGTTCAGGAGGAAATTCCGCACAATTTGAGTACCCACAACATGGGTTTCGGGCAAAAAAAGATTTTTCCCGTTTTTCCCATTTTCCGGGAAAACGGGACGTTTCCGCAAAAAAATGAATATAATTTTTGGAATCAGCACTAAAAAACAAACATTTTGGGAAAAAAATTTATTTTTAGAACGTTGACTAGAGGTCGATAGTTTTACCAGAAAGGTAAACCCTACCGATATCGCGGAATTGTAACCAAATCTAAAATTAGGTTAAGTTACGATAACTATGCCTAGTCTTTACCCATGCCCACTGTTTTATCAGAGGCCTTGAAGAGCATGCCAGCACATAATATAGATAAGTTACCTAAAGGTAACTTATCTATAATGCTGTGATGCCAGCTTAGTTAACTGTAATGTAGCTTAGTTAGATAGGCTAATTGGCAATGGCTAACCACTTTTTAACCTATAGGTACACAAAAACGTACACAAATTGGGTCTCATCCTCGCCTAGAATGTTCCACTAACTAGCAGATAAAATCTACAACTTATTCAAATGAAAGATATATAGAGAACATAGAAACGTACCAAAAACCAGATAAATAAAATATGTATTGTGTATCACCATTTCTTTGAATTTATTACAACACTTAAAGAACACATCACAACACAAACTATAATGGCAAGCAAGAACAGAACAGAACTCCAGTCCAGACTCCACCTTGAAGGCTTGAAGTAAAAAGCTAGCTTCAACGCTTCAAGGCCAACAACACTAACAACAACTAACAGCTGCCTGGCAGCATGCGGTATTGCGGTGAAGCAAGGCAATGAAGCAGAAGCAATGATTTGCGCCAAAATCGCGTCGCGATCGCGAGTGTGATGGTGTCGGTGTGTGTGTGTGTATGTGATGTAACAGTGATACCAACAGAGGTAAAGCAGCAAACATAAATTACCCTACCCTACAAAACATTAAAACTAATACCCTAACTATTTTATTCTATTTTGATAAGTGCAAGTTGGCATAGCCTACTTTTAATCCAACCTACGACATCTTCAGTGCTTTGAGTTTATTAATAAACTGATATTAATTTAACAAAACAAAATACCCCCGCCGCAGCAAACCTGCCGTTTAAGCGAATTTCCATTTGGCTGAATTGATTTTCAATTGATCTATTTAAATTACCATTGTTATTACTTTTCTAGTTAGTAC